ACCATTTTAAATTAATTGTGATTAAAGGGATACTGTCATCACCAAAATGAACAGTTTTTGTGTAGAGATCGTGTCCCTGCAGTCTCACTGCTCAATTATCTGCCGTTTAGTAGTTAAATCACTTTGCTTATTATAAATATTGTTTTATTATTTATATAACGCCAGCAAATTCCATAGCGCTGGGCTTATGCAGCCCTAGTCACACCTCTGTGCATGTGCACAGCCTTCCTAAACACTTCCTGAAAAGCAGCCTATGTATTCAAGAATTTCTTATTTCTTTCTCCAACTCTTAAATTTACAGAGCAGGAGAGTAAAAGTTGTAAAGTAACTTAACATCTGATTGAAAATGAAACTATTTGATTTAATGCAGATTCCAGAGGTCACAGCCAAGTGAGGTGTAGCTAGGGCTTCCTAAGTAGAAACAAAAGGGGTTTAACTCCTAAATAACAGAGATGTGAGACTGAACAGGCGTTATCTATACAATAAAATTGCTTCATTAAGCCAAAGTTATTTTGATGCCAATAGTATCCCTTCAAGGAATGACATGGGACACAGTGGCACATTCGACAGTTTGAAAGGGGCAATTGTAATGGAGTACATTAGAAGGTTTTTAGCAATAAGGTATACATACAATAGAGATCAGTTATAAAAGGATCTATGTAGCATAGTTCTAAATGTGGAGCATTCATCATGAATAATCTGTTGGTGTCCATGACAACTGCTCCATTTGAACATTAAAGTTCTGCTATGGGAAGAACGTGCACAAGGCAGAAATCTATCTCTACATTATAATATATATCTAATGGGGAACTATGAACATTTGTATGCCTACTTTAATATTACATATATTTAACACATACAGTTATTGACCATTTATGACTCCTTAACAAACTCCTCTTTTTTTCTTCCAATCTAATTACTAGCTATTTAAGTTATAGAGAATATATTATCCAGTTGCCAAATAAGTTGGTTTACATTTTACACAAAACATTAATACATGCCTTTGTAGTTTAGCAAGTGCATGCATAATGGAAGGAGTGAGATGAGCATGACCCACTTGAATTAGTATTGTTTGCTGGGGGGAGAGCTGCATTTATACCCATCCCCCAACAAACTCTTCTTTTTCTCAATATACTGCCTATTGGACTGTCAATCAGGGCACATGACTTGCACGCGTCGGGCACAAGAGCAAATGAGATCTGTCTGCCTGTTTCAGTCGCTGTCCATTTAGCGTTACATCCCACTGGTGCTGAAATGTGTCCACAGTCAATGGATTGTCTTCCCATGATTACTAAACCTTTTAATACATAAACCAAAATAACATCTTACATCACATTGAATACAACATCACAAACATAACATAACCTATAAAAATACAATTTATCATAAACCAGGATAACATATGATATCCCATAACATGTAGTATAATCCAATACATCAATAGAATAACATAGCATCACCTCATATATCACAACATATATAATAATTAGCCCAATATAAAATACAATATAACATGTGATATCACATAACATATAGTATAACCCAGTAAATCAGTACAAAATATAGCATTACATGACATACAACATCACATATCATAACAAACACATAACATAACATAACCTAACAATAACATCTATTGGAAAATGTAGCCCAACAGAACACAGAACAAAAACCCAGCATAACACAACCCAGTATAAAACGTAACATATCATAACACAATACTTAACCAATTTAGTGTCATAATAATAGGCATGGCTGAAACAGGACATCTCACCAGTGTTTAAACCTTACTCTAACTGGACCAAACATTGCATTTACCAACTGAATTCTATCTATCTATCTATCTATCTATCTGTCTGTCTGTCTATCTATCTATCCAATGTTCTTTGTATTACAATGATATCATTTTGTTCTGTATAAACCTCTCTGTATTATTTCCCTTAATGTTGCTGTATACAGTCCCACACACTCTGTACTGCACTCAGATCATAGCATTCTCTGTGTATTGTAGTTTATCTCCTTATTTCCAAACTCTATTATTAATACAAACACCCCCAGTGCCCTGGTAATGGCTATTGCAGTTCAGTTGACGCACTTAGCTCTGTGACCCAGCGAGCCACCCAATAACACACTGTGACTAGACAGCTTGACTGATGAAATAATAAGATTGTCCCAGTCTTTATTCCAGTGGCCGTTGGTTTCTGAAATCCGGCTCTCCCTTCTGTTTATCTATATTACCCCAGGGGTTTATTGTCTGCCCCCTCAATAAGGAGCACTGAGGACCCCTCTGTGTCCCGCACGCGTCAGTCCCCCTCCCCCAACCCCCTGCACTCGGGGGCCACATGCACATCGGACGCTCCTTCTGGTTACATTGTGGCATCATTTGAAAAATTCAGCTTGTTCCGTGTCACTTTGATAACAATAAATTGGCCCTTTGTCCTGTCCATCTGGGAATTAATCTGGACTCAGTGTCAATCTGGGGGCACGTTTAACTATAACTCTTCTCGCTCAAAAATATCTATTTGCTGTAACCTCCTCTATAAATAATATCTTTCTGCATATTCTATAAATGTTGCAAATGTATCTATTTATTAAAAATAATATTAATAATAATATAACATATTAAGTATTAAGAATAAGTAGTAAAAGTTGAATATTATTATAGAACTATTAAACATTGTATCAAGGTGCCCCTATATTTGTATTTAAATAATGGAACCATTCCTATATAATTCCCTTACCCAGGATCTAATAGGGTAAATAATATGGGTGCTCTAATGGCATTGCCATAAAAGTGAGGTGTAGATGTTATACTATAAGTGGATATACAGGTGACTGCCTATCACTACATTCCTGGAACATTCTATACATTTCTTACATGTTCTATTGTTTTATTCTACTATCTAAACTGTCCATTTCCAGGTCCATATAACCTCCTGACTGTAGTGCAACTAATCCAGGCTTCCGATTAACAACATAATTCAGAGATAGTTTATTATATTAATGGATTAATTGATGCCATTTAAAACTGATAGTATGTATTAATAAATATTATAAAAATGCTTTGTGTTTCGTTTTTCTCTCTGTGTTGCCTGCTGGCCCTCAATCAGTTATGAGGTCTCAGTTTCCAAACTCCCATACTTCGCTCTCCACTCCCTCCACCCTACCCCCCTTCTCCATCCTTCCAGATTGTATTCCTGGTCCAGAGACCCTTAGAGATCACATTGCTCTGGCAGACCCAGGAGAACATCATGTGAGTACAGAGACCTCCTCATGTAATACTTCACTGGATTTGAATTGTATATTGCAACAGTGTTTCACTTTTTGACGTTATTTATTTTATTTTTTACTTTAAATATTTTAAAAAAAATCTTATTTACAGATAGATCTGAATGTTTTTTTTTAAAATCATTTTATGTTACTTCATAGAGATTCAAATTAAATATTCAGTAAAAAGTAATAATATTTCTGTCTGCCTTTCTCTCTCTTTTACCTTCTTTGCAAATAGACCTTTTATTTTGTTACTTACCACCAATTGCATGTTAAACTAAAATTAGATGATGCCCTATAGTGATCTAGAGATGTTTGAGATTAATTCAATAGAAATTCAATATTCTATATACATTGTGAGGCGAATCTGTGTGTTGGTGCTTTTGTTTGGTTAGTAATAATTATATATTTAAATGATTTATTATAATTACTAATGAAGATATTATTAAATTCACTAGAGAAATTGCGTGATGGGGGTTGCAGTCCAGCAGTAATATGGATATAATAGCCTGTCCCAGCATGATGCTCCTGAATTGAACCTGTTTGATATTTTGAAATCAGATAAACTCAGAAATTAATTTATTGTCATTTTATTGATGTTAATTAATAGTTCAAATCAATCCTGAACGTTTTTACAAGTAGGTAAAGATAAAAAATTAGGCAGTGCAGGAGTTTAGAATCAAGTAGTATTGTGATTAATATGATAATAAAATATCATAAAATAACTCATATTTTGTTGATCTCAGAGTCTAAGCTCCTAGGATCACGTCCTCTATTTTCCAAACCAATCCCTTGTGAATCACTGTGCTAATTAGTTTATTTGAAATTCAAGTAATTATTTTCATCAGTTTTATTATTGGAATACAATCCACAGTCCAGATGTTTTGACGATGAACATTTAACAAAAAAAGGGACTAAAACATCGAATAAACGTGTAACTGGGGTCAGGCCCAGGTACTTATCATGTCAACAAGCATCTTCAGCATAAATATGAAAAAAGTGATTCAATTTCAACAGCATGAATGTATGAATGAATAAATAAATAAATACATGTATTCTAGGTAAGATTACCAATATATTCTCAGTGTACTGTTTACCTTTTCCTTTTATCATAAAACAGGATTTCTAAATAGCATTGAGTGCAATGATACTTTTTATTTTCATTTTATAATTTATTTCTTAATTTATTTATTATTTATTTCCCCTATGAATGCTGTGAGTGTATTGGTAATCTTTCACAGGATCAAGGAATAACACAACATTTAAGATTGAAGGTTTTATTTTATGTATTTATTTATTGTACTTGATGCCCAATAGGGGTAAACTCTGTCCCTTATTACATCTTCCAGTTAGCCCCTCTGTAATACTCTGTAATGTGGGTCTCTGTGCACTGCAAGGGTTAACCCTCCCTGTGACCCTGCCTGAGCCCCCTGTACAGGATGCACGCGCCTGGGATCACCCAGCAGATGGGGGTGGGCTGTTTAATGCGGTTTAATAGACCCACAGTGAGCATTCCATCAGACACAGCGCTGGGAAGCCTCCTGTGCCAAGCTTACAGTCAGGACACGGCTTGCTCTTACTGTAACGACTCTCAGAGGTTATTCACACTTTGGGCTTGTTTTCAAAGGGTTAGTACATTACAGAGACAGTGTCATCATAGCATTTAACCAAATAATACAACCCTTATTACGGAGGTGTACTACTCTACAGATAGCTGAAGGCTTTTACTTTTACCAACCAGTGGAAGCTGTATGTCTGTCTCTTTGTGCCGCTGTCGGTCGGTCTGTCTGTCTCACTGTTGGTGTTTGTGTGTCTGACAGTCTGAGTGTCCCTATCATATTGTCTCTGTGCTGCCTCTCTGCCTTTTTGTGTTCGTTATTCTGTTTGTCATTATCTGTGTGTGTCTGTCTTTGTCCTTCTCTCGCTGTGTATTTGTGTCTGTCTCTCTCTTTTTGCCTCTTTGTGTCTGTTACCCTGTTTGTGATTGTCTGTGAGTGTCTGTCTTTGTCCTTTTCTCGTTGTGTATGTCTCTCTATTTGTCTCTCTCTATCTCTCTCCTTCTGCCTCTTTGTGTCTTTTACTCTGTTTGTCATTATCTGTGTGTGTCTGTCTTTGTCCTTCTCTCGCTGTGTATTTGTGTCTGTCTCTCTCTTTTTGCCTCTTTGTGTCTGTTACTCTGTTTGTGATTGTCTGTGTGTCTGTCTTTGTCCTTCTCTTGTTGTGTATGTCTCTCTATTTGTCTCTCTCTATCTCTCTCCTTATGCCTCTTTGTGTCTTTTACTCTGTTTGTCATTGTCTGTGTGTGTGTGTCTTTCTTTGTCTTTCTATCGTTGTTTCATTGAGTTTGCATGTCTCTCTCTTTGCCTCTTTGTGTTTGTTAATCTGTTTGTTATTGTCTCTGTGTGCCTCTTCCCCCCTCTCTCTTTGTGTCTGTGTGTGTATGACTTTCTCTTTTTATCTCTCTGTCAGTCTGTTGGGGCACAATTCTAGCAGTGGCGCAATCAGCTGGTTTCCATGGTGATTGCTCCACTTTTAGAAGTTTGCTCTAGAATCGCTCTGTATAAATGCCCTCAAATGAAAATGGAACGTGCCCAGCACACGCCTCCCATCCCCCCCACCAACGCTGACTCCCTAACCTCACCCAACATCCCAGGGGATCAGTGGAGCCCCCTCCCCAAACTCCATATCTAACCCCAGTGCCCCATCCTGAGAATCACGAACAGCTTCAATGGGAAAAACCGATCATTTTCTGAATGTCCTTTGTTTTCTTCTAGAGACGCTCAGCGTCTGATCGCCATCTGGGTGACAGTTACACTGGGCTCTGTGAATAATTAGGAAACATTTTCTCATGGTTATAAAGATAGGAGAGCCGTGGGAAGTTACCAATAGAGGCTCCTGCAGCCATTTTACACAGAGCTCACTATGCAGAGTATTAGTTATCCATATAGTCTGAATACTGGCAATATAATAATATTAAAATATTTGAATGGTCATATATATATATATATATATATATATATATATATATACTTTTTCCCTTTTCTTTTAATCTCGTTTTCATTACTTTTTCTCTTTACTATTTCTCTTTATATCTTTTTTTTCTCATTGTATCTATTTCCTCTCTTGTTTATTTTGTCTTTTTACCTCTCTATTCTCTCTCCTATTCTGTTGCTATAGACCTGGTTACATTGTATCTGCTATAGACGCGTGGAAGCTGTTTAATTGGCTACAGGTGGGTACACGCCCCTAGTGGCCAGCAGGCGGCATAACACGGGAGCTGCAAGCGCCGGGGATGAGGCCAGGACAGATGGTGCTAGAGCATCATTAGTCGCTGTCCCCTCATCCCATTGACCCCTATGGTGCTGAAAGCCTCTCCAGTGTCTCCTGCTAATTCTCATTATTTATCCTGTGCTAGCAGAGCTATGCACACAGTCATTCCTTCACACCCAGAGCAGATTGCATACAGCTCAGCCTGTACCTTCTGCGAGGAAATAAAAAAACTAGTAGGTACCAGGTCAGAATAAACAGGCAAGGAAGATAAACAGAGGATAATTGAAAAAGGTGAAAATTTAAGAATGAAAACACATGACATCTATTCATTGAGAAGTGATATATATCATATATGTAATAAATTCTACCCTGTTATGATGCTCAGTGGTCACTAGTAGTAAATAATTATTGACAGGTGTTTGCTGTATTGAAAACGTGCTCACTGATCATTTAAGAACCATTTGTTATTGATGATGAGGCTATTGTTAGGAGATTAGTAATAACCGTTTGTCTATCTCTAGAACAGCCTGTGATCATTGCCAGGGGAATTGTCCGGCAGGAGACCAGCACAAGCCTTTAGTCTATAAATATGAACAATAAAATCAAGCTAACTTAAAGGGTTACTTTAACCACTGTGACAACTCCAGTGATTTCATGCGGACACGAGGCTTGCAGTCTGTATGTGCAGTGATTCACTTTGAAACACTGCACATAAAGATTAAAGCACTTGGCTACCAGAGGTGTTGCAGGTGATAGCAGCCAGAGGACAACTAGTTTAAAAAGCCTTGGTAGTGATAGGGTTAATTGCTGTTTTGATATGGCAGTTGAGCTAACACTTAAATGGTCATTGGAGTGATATGAAAAAAAACTCCAGTTATTTACATGTATAAAGGGATTTGGGATAGTGCGCAAGTAACTCTTTTCTAAGACTGTATGCATAACTTTGATAAGGAAGTTTTTTTTTTTTTGGCATGAGGGGGCGTGGCTAAGGAGGCAGGCTTATAATGCAACATTCTGCAAAACATTTATTGGTTCCCTGGAGTGTCCCTTGAATGTAAGCTCAGATCAGAACCAATTTTAATATATCCATATTTATTTCACACAGGGATAAGAAATATAACAATTAAACCAAGGGAAAGCATTTGTATAGCATCCCTAAACAGGTAAGAAACTCATTACACTAATTGTATTAACAAGCATGCCCATTTCAGTCATGCCCAGCCCAGTAACCAGCTTTAATGTGTTAGAGCTGATGTTAACCCACTTGAACATTTATTTAGTTACAAGCATATTTCATCCAATATGTATTTTTACCTGTCAGATACTCTATGTTACTGTTAAACTTTAGAATGCCTCTTTTAAAATATCAGTAAAAACTATTTTTTTTTACAACCTCAGCATTTGGCATCAATTTGCTAAATTCATGGAAAATAATCCCATATTTTAACCAAAATTTAAGTTTTGATTGTATGGGGAACAGTCTTTAATGTGCAAATACAGTAATATTAAGCTATTTTTTCTACTTTAAAAAAACAAACAAACAAAACTGGATTCTATTCCATTTTGAGTCTCTGATTAGCCCCAAATATTTGCATCACAGTGTGCCTCTGGTTTGGCTCTAATGGATGAAACACCTGCACATGTTTTTGTTTTGAGTTTATGACAATGTTTTGAATATTAATCCAGGGTTAACATTCTTACCATGAAGGAATCAACACGAACAGTTCCACTATAATTGCACTGCTGTCAGAGCTTGGATAATTCTTAAAGGAATACTCTATGTACCATAAACACTACAGTGCACTGTAGTGGCCATGATGCCAGGAATGCCCTAATGTCCTTCCAAAGTAAATAGTGAAACCATATACAAAGATTGTAGTGGAGCCCTAGTCCCAGCAGGAACTTTCTCTCCACTGGATCTCCCAAGAGTAAAATCAGGAACAAGAAAACACCAAGTAGATATCCCACCTCCTCCCCAACAACTGGAGTACAACTGGTTTAATGCATCCAAACACAGCCTTTTTATTCACAGACACTAGCAGGGGCCGCCAATGTATTTACTACAAGCCCCTCCCAGGAATCTCTGGGCCTAGGACATATTTGCGTTAAAGACCGGTAAGCTAATTATCTCCCAGGAACAGAGAGGCAAACATAAAAATATGAAACAAAAAAATACCCAAAAACATAATAAAAACATAAAATAACTCCACAAATAATGCATTGTTAAATAGCACTGATCTGAGCTCCCAAGTTCTTCAAATAGCGCTCAGGGAAAACCCCATCATGTTAAAGTTCTCACCGGCCACACACGTGGTCCTATGCTCAAAATAGTTCCAGGGCGTTTGGTGTTTTTGCTGGTAAACTTTCAAGAGTTCCTGCGGCCCCAATACAGGGTACTCTGTTTGGCTCTTAGGTAGCGTTTGTTCCCCTTAGTCTCAGGCACCTTCCCTCCAAAAAGCCCTCTCCTGGTGGATTTCAAAGTGGTTCAAAACCACAAACCAAGTTGTCCGGGAACTGCACGGTCACTTCATGCCGAAAACAGTTCCATAATGTTCGCGGCTAACTCCTGCTGAATTGACCAGGAACTAATGAAGTGCTCATGCTGTAATTAGTTCCATAGCAGTCACATTTGGTTCCATTCACAGGCAGGGAAAGTGCTGAACCAGGGGAACCCAGGGAAAGCTGTTAATGGTGGCTGGGCAGAATAACTCCCAAATGGTGTCCCAAACCTGGACCATAGTCGGGTGGCAGGAGGCCAGCTTCTACACTCCTTCAGCAGTCCATGGCAAACATACGTGGGAAGGAGCTTTTGTCACAAAGGTTTCTGTCTGAGTAAGTATGATATTGTTGTAGGGCTTAATTTATTGGCTGAGATCAGCTGACACTCTCAGCAAATGAGCAGGCCATGTAATGCAAAGCTTAGCTCTGGAGAGCTAACTGATGCTAGCAGGAGTATTTTGTTTCCTAGTGTGGAAAAAAAAGAGTTGGGGAGTGATACACTCAGAAGACCCCAGATAAAAAGTCAAACCACTCTACAACAGTTTCACTACTTCCATTGGGGGAGAGAAGCACCATGTAATGGTTATAGTGCTTGGAATATTTCTTTAATATATAGCCCAATAGTCAAAAAGTGATGGTTAGCTGAAACTTTATTGATTTGCTTTTTACAGTGAAACATTTTTCTGTTTTGTTGGAGACTGCTATTGGCTACAGAGTTGGACAGGAAACTCTGATAAATATGAGCATATATGATGTGTAAGTGAATGCGAAGGGGGGACTATACGTAGACATAATTAAAGGTCATCAAACTTTGGAACTTTGCTCATTGATGGTGGACAGTGTGTATATAGTGTAGATTTGCATGAAGTGTAGAGTGATATGGTTTATTTTAGTTGAGGGGCTATAGGCCGTGGCTGTAATTGTAACCGGGTTTGTTGGTGGTTGTGTGTAGGTGGGGCTATAGTTATTGGATGGCATATTGGATGGTATAGTCAGTAATTTGTCAGTGTGGATATCACTATTTGAGTGGTAGGGAATGGATTTGTTGTTGATGAGGATTAGGTAAGAAGAGTACAAGAAGAAGAAAGAAGATGTGAAAGAAGATGTGCGGAGGTAGAGGAGAGTGGGACAGTACTGATACAAGAAAAAAAGAGGTTCAGATACACAAAGAAGAGAGAGCAGGTACAATATGGGTTAATGCAAGCATAGTAGTGGTGTGAGATAGAAAATGTAGATAAAGTGGATAAACGAAGAGGTACTATATCAATGGAATAGTGGGCCAACAGGTACATCATAGACGAATTAGATCACCAACCTGCTTTTT